CTATTCTTTATAAGTGTTCGCTGGCAGTTCTTGTTGATATTAGTTTTCTACTCATGGTACAATAATTGATAATTTCTGTATTTTGGTTTCCATGTTTTTTACTAACCAATTAATTTTGAACCTTTTCTTCCTACTAGTTGTAGTTGATATCCCATTTTTACTTAGCTTGCCAACTAAAAGCAGAAACTAAATTCTATCCCATGCCTGGAACACAAGATTCACATGAATCTGATATTCTCAGCTGTTGGAATAAGGGCCTTTCATCCCTCTATATAGTATTAACGAATACACTAGCAAGGAGCCACTAAGATTTGAACTAATGATAATTTGTTTGAATCTATGATGTGGCTGACTCTGGTCTCTTGTGGTACTTTTTGGACACTTGATGGGCAGCCATCCTTGGAATCCCCCAATGATGATTGACTGACCACGCCTGCTACATTTTTGAAGCTCATCAAAGATTGAACAATGAAACATTGTGTGGAATAAAACGCATGCATTGTTCTGGTACAAATATTTTATGAATCAAACAATAGACTTAACTTCTAAGTACTAATTAACTGTTTGTTTCCTGTAAAAGAAAGATTGAGGATAATGATAATTTATTTTTATGGGTGTATCATCAGACTTGCAACTAGTGGTTCTGTATACACGGACTGATGATTGCATTTGCTTGGCCATATAAATATGAATTGCTAAAGGAAAAGGGCATTCTGCTAACTAGAAAAAGTTGTGATATCTGGGTGTGGGTGAGCAGTTAACAATCTGCTTAATTGCAATATTTAGATTGTTAAATTATGTTTCTACCTGGTGAGGTGTTATATGAGAACATCAATTATTTTGCACATATTGTTTTAAGAGATTCATCATTCATGCGTAATTACTCTATGGTCTCTCTTTATCCCTTTTGTTTTAATTTGAATGCAAGAGATGACCTTGATCAATATTAATTTGCAGCTACGGCTCAAATTATACTGATACTTGGGGGTTTGCCTCTCTAACTGTCTGGAACATGAAGACATGGTATGTGCCCTGAACTTCTTTTTGTGATACTGTTGCTAGTTTTTGCCTTAATGAATTTTCACTTCTATGAAGGCAGTCCTTCCTCTTGGTGAAGATCCGCCAGCAATAACTTCCCTTTGCTTCAATCACAACGGAAAGATTCTAGCAGCTTCTGCAATCGATGGAATGATTCACATGTTACAATTATAGTGTTTGATGTAATTGTTAAGTTGCTAATGGTTTAAGGGAAATGTGAGCAAAAATGTCTCATACACTCTCTTACTCATGCTCTCCCTTAATGTTGACAGGTGTACATATTTAATTACAACAGTGGCATTTTGACAATAGATCTAAATTAGATTGATAAATGTGTTAAGGACACATGTTCACATGAAAAAGAGAGAATGAATACAGTGTCCTTAGCATTTCTGAATGTTTTATATACAATTTGCGTACCCATTTTGACATATGAAGTTGCAGTTTTGACTTTTGAGAAGTAAAAGAAAATAAAATCCTTTTTTTCTTTTTTCTTTATTTTTTTGATCATTTAAAGATAACAAGTAAATCTTTTGATGTTTACAACTTTTGAACAAATTTTTTTTAAAACCTTAGTCCATGATAGTGGAAACAATTGAAATCCATTCATGATACTTTGAACTTGGATTGATAGTGGTTGATAATATCAGATGCTTGCATTGTTGCATATTTTTTGTATATTTGCCTTGTTAAATCAGTGTTTTTTTATATTTTGTAGGTTCTTTAAACCTGAGACCTTAAAACACTGTAGACATGAGATGGCTTTTGATGCCAGTGGGAGGAGATTATTGGTAACATCAGGTTTAGTGAGGGCACCGATATATCAGGTTTTTCTCTCTCTTGCACGCCATTAACATAAATGCATGTCTGCTTGCAATGTGTTTGGCTCTTTTCTACATTTTCAGACTGTTGGTTTGCACGCAAATTGATACTGAATGTCCAATCTCTAGACCATTGATTAAATCGCTGACCTGTGGCCAAACTGATTACTACTTTGTGGGCAGTCCAGACTGCCTGGTAGCCCGCTGACTATTATAGATTCTGGCGATGCTCTTATAATGAAGTGATTATTTTTCTTTATTCAATTAATTTGATTCAGGTTCGAGGTCATGCTAGCGGTTTCAGAACTCTTCCCCACACTGCAGCTATAGCAACCGTGGATTGGCATCCGACCTTGCATGTATTTCGGACAGGCTCAGCTGATCACTCAGTTAGAGTAACATCCATTTTGTAATGTGTCTTAATTTTACATGTTATTTTAACGTATTTTTTGGTCAGCTAGAAGTTGGAGTGAAATCTTCTCCAGTTGTGATCTGGCAGAAATTCTCACATCAGTGTACCTTTGAGCAGCTTGTGTCATATAGGATGCATCTTCAACAGTATGTATTTTGACCAGATATGATGAATTTTCCCTAGTTGTAATTCATTGAATATTATAAAGTGAAGTTAAGTCGCCGACCGATGACTTTTTCGGCGTAGGGCCTAACTAGGAACATGACTGATGACAGTGGCAAAACAATAAATATTTTGATTATTAATTTAAAAAAATGATTATTAAATTAAAAAAATCAAATTTTAAATTAATTTTCTTACTGATAAAATGGGAAACTAGAATATAGAAAGGGGTAAAGTAAACATTTTATTATCCCATTACTAATAATAGATAGCAATCCTCCCAAATGTGGGAGGAATGACACTACCCTTTTTTTAAATAATAGGAGACTTATTTCATGCCCAAATGGGAAAATAGTTAAACCAGACATGGGATTGAAAATAAAATTCCTATTCTCATGTTGATTACTATAAAGCAGACACAGGAACACAAAAAAATTTAAGAATTCAAGGTTACAATAAAAATCATAAGAAAAGTATGATGATAATTATTAAATTGCGTTACACAACAATATCCATGTGATTTATGATATAATTAGGACCTCAAGTTGTGTTACTCTTGCAATCGAAGTGTTTTTTTTTTTTTTTTTTGATCAAGAGTGTCTGGGTCAACTTACACGTACCTCAACCAATCCTCTGGAATCTTGGAATTATTGGTTGGATAAAAGTTCCAGTTACTATCCTTATTAGCAGTCAAAGTGAATCAAACTAAAAACCTCTTGAATAATATACCTAAAAATCCTAGTTGACTACTAGACCATTCAATGGTGGTTAATCCAAGTATTTATATAAGTATTTCCTTAATAATACTTCTTCGAGACACATTGAATAATATCGATGCATTTATTTTCTTAACGTATACTTTAAGAACACATAGTTATAATATAAATAATTTTTTTTTTTTTTTTTATTTGTGTGTGCAAGCGATTAAAAATAACATTTTATCAAAGATTAAAACAAGTAATTCCTGTCATTTATTATACTTAAAATTACATTTTCTATAGCATTATTAATAATGGATTTGGTGGACTTAAACTTAAACAAAGCCGTGCTTATAGAGCCCAGATATTGTCAACAGCCCAATTAGAAGTCCGACCCAGCCCATTAATACAGCCAAAATCATGAGAGAAGGCCAGAAGGAGATCTTATGACGTGGCGTGAAGTGATTGACTGGAGCTGCGACACAAGTACACAACCACGCTGTTAAGTAACAGCATCGTAATTTAGCTTAAAAAAGGCATAAAAAATTTAAGCGCCAAGATTGTACAGAAAACCCAATTCGAAGAAATCGGTTCGCTTTTTATTTACTATTCCTCTCCACTTATATAAGGTACACAGATTTATAGCATTTTTATTTTATGATATATTTATATTTTTTTACATATTTTTTTCTGATTAATGTATCTTCAACCGCATGAAATTCTAGTTACTGTAAACCCTAAATGTTTTATTTCATGAGCTAATTGCTTTTTTTTTTTGTTTCAATTAGTTCATTTTTATATAATTTCGACATAAAACGAGGTGATTTCTGCTCCATTTAAAGAAATTGTGTGCTTTCAATGAAGCAATTACTGAATTCTGATATTGATTAGTTCGCATGTTATGGCAAGTGAATTTCCAGCATGTTGCTGGTTTATGATCAATTTTTTGAAATATTGATTTGCATTGCTGTAGCCTGTAAGTGCGGATTTGCATAATTTTGTAATATTTACTGTCTATAATTGTTGTTAACAAAAAATTGCCACTAGAACGGGCACTTTTTTTCCTGTTAATTTATTTTAAATTTTAAATTTTTGTACTAGTGTACTGGAAATTTGCCAAATGTACTAAGATATTTACTGATAATATTTTCACTGATGTGGCATTTGGTGTGCCATATATCTCACCTCTTACTTATTAGTTTTAATGTAAATTTAATATATATCCTGAGATTTGGTTGAATTTTGGCGGATGGCTTTGTTTGGAAAATGAGCAGAGACCTCCTTGTCGGGAAATTGTGTAAAATTTTAGAGAGGATCTTACAAATTTTGGGGTAATTTAAACCATTTGAGGAGCTCAATGAAATGTCCCTTTATATTACGCTAACCTTCATACAATGATCTCCTGTATGGAGCAACAAGCATGCATCTGTATGGCACTTATCACCAATTGGCACCTCATTTAGATAAACATTTTTTCTTGAAGAAAGAAAGAAGTCTCAGTATTTCTAGCACTAGTCTTAGAGTATCATCCATTTGCAAATAGGCATTCTATATGCTATCTATTATTATTTATGTTATTATGCTTTGGCTAGAATTTATTAAGTACTTGCAGAAAGAAATGCATTATTAGGGTCCTGTGAGTAATTCATTTCGTAATTGAACTTATGGGCATATATGTATCTCCTGTATAAAATTACCGTTGATAGTCTGTAAAACATGTGATAAGTGCTGGTGAAAAGAGAAATAAGTAGCAAGAGGACAGTTCCAGACAAAACTGTATCTGTATGGTGTTTTTTTTCAAGAGATATTTATAGTGGACTATGAATTTGTAGTTTATGTACTTGAAGTTATGTTTATGATTACAGGTCTGGCATGATAAGATGGAGAACATGCGATATGCTGAGGAGCTGGTGATAGAGTTTCTTGTTTTTAGAGGGTTTACAAATACTTTGCAAGCTCTTGAGACTGAGTTAAGCACAGATATAGGCAAAGGGTTTCAAGTGGATAAGATATTGGAGTTAATCTTCTTGGTATATATTCCCATGTTTCAAGCAGAATAATTGGTTAGTGTACTGTGTTTTTTCAAGAAGTGCTTTTCGTCAGCATCGGAGACAGTACTTACTGCTACTCTATCAAAACTTGAGGTCGCTATTCTACGCTACTATATTGTTCATGCCTTACAATCAGGAAGAAAAGACAAAGTTTTAGAGTTTTTTGGAATTAATGGAAATGATTTGCTGCAGAGGGGCCAAGATTGGGCTCCATGGTTTGGTGGGTCTGTCTCTTATTCTTGAAATTGAGTTTTCCAGCAGTAATTTATCATTCATTGATGATCATGGGTGTGCAATGTAGCCATTCCTTATTTAAAAAATCCAAGCTTGGATCCTCAGTTTCGCATATATTTCTCAAAGGAATGGGTTAAAGCCTTGCGACTTTCTGTGACGAATTTTTTTAGTGAGATTTTCAACGGAATTCATATCCTTTTGACATGAATATTGGCTGAAATACTGTGAAGTTTTGATATTTTATTTTGACTCCATATACATGCTGTCTAGAGTTCAATTGGTTGGTTGAGTTCAGTTGTTCTACAATCTTAAATCCTTCTTCATAGAAAATGTTATTTTCCCAAATATCCTCACTATTGAGGGTCATGAATTTACGTATACTTTGAATGAAGTTTGTGTAAAAGAAGGGGTCTTGTGTCTGGTGGTTGACACTTTTTTTTTTTGGTATCTAATACATGTGTCCCAAATTTGTCCATCTTTTCTATCCAAAGCCAGAAGATAACTTTTTTTCTTAACTAATTTCAGACAAATTGTCACACAATTATGATCATGTAGCTATTTTCACCTCTTGACAATAAATTGATATGTTTTCTGATTGGATTTGTAAGAATTTTTCCTTAACTAAATTAAGTCTCCCTGCCCTCTTGAAGATCAGTTCAGAGAAGAACACTGTAAACCGTCTCAAAAAGGACATCAAACAACTTAATGTTAAGCTGTCACAACTTCAGGCCTTACTGGAGGAAAAAGAGTCTCAGTTAAACCGGTTAAGGAAGTAAGAGCTATCTTTATTTTTTCTCTTGGGACTTTGATGTTCTGCTTACTGCATTCTTCTCAAGGAAGCTGATATTATTTTGGCATCTAATAATGCCAGTAATTCTGAGTCAATGAAGGATGCAAGCCCGAGACAAACTCAGTGTTCTACTCCATCAAGTAGCTTGCATGAAGAAAATGTTCTTCTTTCTGCAAACAGTCAAGAAGCTTTTTCTACTGCTATAACATATTTGGATGAGATAGAACCTGGTCAGGAATTGGCCACTGGTCTACCTCCCAAAGTTTTGTCAAGACTTACTGGATCCAAGTCTGGAAATGATTCAAGTTCTCGTTCAACTCTTGATGCTGAAGATGCTGGAGCTGGTGATTCCATTCAAATGTACTACAATATTCCTTACAGTGGTAGGTGACTGTTTTTATTGGTTGCCTTTATGAGTTGATGATAGTGAAATAATTCTTGAGCACCATCTTTCAGGCAGCCTAAGGAAATTGCTTTGCTTAAATGACAAGGGTGTTGCCTCTCTGATATTCAGAGAATTCAATTATAGACAACTGAGATTTGACATGACTGTTGTTTAAGTGCATCAAGGGTGAGGGTGTCTAGGTGTGATGGTGGAAAGCAAGGAAAATATGCTTGTACAAACTACCAAAATTCGAATAAATCATTGAGTATAGATCAGATGTTAATATTCAATTAAATAACTGAGTGCTGTTTATTCTATCATGTGTAGAGAATTTAAAATATGATGTTTGTGGAAATAAGCAAGTAGGTGTGTGTTAGATTTAAAAAGCAAGAGAAGGTTGCATTTGGGGTAGTCTATTGGAAGAGCTGAAGATATTAAATTGAATTTATTAATTTTGAGTCTGGGTTCTTTTGTAGTAGCTTTAAGCAAGAAGTATAGGAAATCACTTATTGAAGGTATTGAAATGGCTATTGAAGGTACATGGACAACTATTTTTGTCTTGCTGCGAAACTGAATTTATCCTTGTGTCTTGAATAGGTCAATAGGTTGCAGTATATGATTTAGGAACTTATAGTTAGTACAAATAATTGTGGAATGTTATGTGGCAGAGAATGGTAGAGAAATGCTGGGAGAAGAAGAATTCCCAGAATTGAAAGTAGATTTCCAGGTAAATTGCTTTAAAAGATTATTTTAGGTGCAATGTTTTCACATTGAATTTTGGTTTTCTTCTTTCAGCATTTTGTTACTCATTTGCTAGTGAAAGATTTCTGGTTGATTTTGTGACTGTGTATGTGTAATTTTTCTTACCATGTTATTTTAGAAGAGATTTTTGGGCCAGACCAGTCCTATCAGTTGCTGCCTCTTTTCTGCATCTGGAAACAATATAGCTAGTGCTTCTGTGGATGGCACTGTCAGGTACTTAATGGAAGTAGGTGATATATGTAAAGGTTAACTGTACAAGGTTCTCTGACGGCCTCGGGCTGCTTAATTATATAGAATGCATAGTCCATATATAAGTGGTACATTGGTGGTCCTAGCATGAGACTGCTAGGGTGTTCACTTTGCTTAATGGGTTGTCCAACTTGTGCCTGTAATGATTTAATCAAAATTTCCCTTTGTGTTTGATCACTTCAATTAGTTGGTCTGTTCAAATGGATTAATTCTGACTGTTGTTCAATATTTCAACATTAACACCTGATTTTGAGTGACATTAATTAACTACCTAATTTGTTAAACATGCTCGAGGAGACCTGGGCATGCCTTAATTACTTAAAGTTGTTCTTAAACTACTTGATTATTTTTTTGGCATTTAATTTACTTACTACTTTTGGATTTATGCATATACAACTAAGGATATGGACTTATGACTCGTCAACTCCAGCTTCTAGAAATGCAACAATATACTGTGGGGCAGAGATTATGTCGCTTGAGTGGGAATGTAAATCTGACCGCTTGGTACATGATGTGGCATTATATGTTTTGTTCTTTGAGATTACTAGTTCCAGCTTCTAAGTTATATTTTCTTTTTGACAAAAGCTTCTAATTGGCACTGCTGATGGAGGCATTAAAGCATGGAATGTTGATGCTAAGAGAGTTGTCTGTGATCTCAATAAAACTGAAGCATTTCCTAGGTACTTTGACAACTGTGTGCAAATAAAGATCAAAATATTTTATGCTCCTGATTCACATTTTTGTTTTGCTGCAGTGTCTTGGACCTAAAGTGCAGCCCAGTAGAACCGATATTTGTTTCTGCTGCAGCATCCAGAGGGTATTTGTTCAATCTCAATCTTCAACTAAGTATTTCTGATCTTACCTGAATAAAGTCTGTATGTATGAATGCTATTCTTTATAAGTGTTCGCTGGCAAGTTTCTTGTTGATAATAGTTTTCTACTCATGGATACAATAATTGATAATTTCTGTATTTTGGTTTCCATGTTTTTTACTAATCAAATTAATTTTGAACCTTTCTTCCTACTAGTTGTAGTTGATATCCCATTTTTACTTAGCTTGCCAACTAAAAGCAGAAACTAAATTCTATCCCATGCCTGGAACACAAGATTCACATGAATCTGATAGTCTCAGCTGTTGGAATAAGGGCCTTTCATCCCTCTTATAATAGTGTTAACGAATACATCTAGCAAAGAGCCTCTAAGATTTGAACTAATGATAATTTGTTTGAATCTATTGATGTGGCTGACTCTGGTCTGCTTATGGTAATTTTTGGACACTTGATGGGTCAGCCATCCTTGGAATCCCCCAATTGATGAGTTGAGCTGACCAGCTGCCTTGCTACATTTTTGAGAGCTCATCAAAGATTGAACAATGAAACATTTGTGTACTGGAATAAAAGCTCACTGCAATTGTTCTGGTACAAATATAATTTATGAATCAAACAATAGACTTAACTTTCTGAAGTACTAATATAACTGTTTGTTTCCTGTAAAAGAAAGATTGAGGATAATGATAATTTATTTTTATGGGTGTATCATCAGACTTGCAACTAGTGGTTCTGTATACATGGACTGATGATTGCATTTGCTTGGCCGTATAAATATGAATTGCTTAAGGAAAAGGGCATTCTGCCAACTAGAAAAAAAAAAAGTTGTGATATATGGGTATGGGTGAGCAGTTAACAATCTGCTTAATTGCAATATTTAGATCGTTAAATTATGTTTCTACCTGGTGAGGTGTTATATGAGAACATCAATTATTTTGCACATATTGTTTTAAGAGATTCATCATTCATGCATAAGTACTATATGGTCTCTCGATCTTGATCAATATTAATTTGCAGCTACGGCTCATATTGCTCAAATTATACTGATACTTGGGGGGTTGCTTCTTTAACTGTCTGGAACATGAAAACATGGAAAGCTATGGTATGTGCCCTGAACTTCTTTTTGTGATACTGTTGCCAGTTTGTGCCTTAATGAATTTTCGCTTCTATGAAGACAGTCCTTCCTCTTGGTGAAGATCCACCAGCAATAACTTCCCTTTGCTTCAGTCACAACGGAAAGATTCTAGCAGCTGCTGCAGTTGATAGAATGATCCACATGTTTGGTATCCTTTTACAATTATAGTGTTTGATGCAATTGTTAAGTACCTAATGGTTTTGGGGAAATGTGAGCATAAATGTCTCATCCACTGTTACTCATGCTTTCCCTTAATGTTGACAGGTGTACAAATTTAATTACAACAATGGCATTTTGATATTAGGTCTAAATTAGAGGTTACTGAATCCAACTCAGATTGATAAACGTGTTAAGGACACATGTTCACATGAAAAAGAGAGATTGAAAAAGAGAGGTTTATAATATCACATGTTTTCATTTTTGCACATTTTTCGTATATTTGCCTTGTTAAATCAGCATTTTTTATACTTTGTAGGTTCTTTGAACCTGAGACCTCAAAACATTGTAGACATGAGATGGCTTTGGATGCCAATGGGAGGAGATTATTGGTAACATCGGGTTCAGTAAGGGCACCGATATATCAGGTTTTTCTCTCTCTTGTACACTATTAACACATAAATACATGTCCGCTTGCATTATGTTTGGCTCTTTTCTACATTTTGAGACTTTTGGTTTGCATGCAAATTGATACTGAATGTCCAATCTCTAGACCATTGATTAAGTCGCTGACTTGTGGCCAAACTGATTACTACTTTGTGGGCAGTCCAGACTGCCGGGTAGCCCGCTTACTATTATAGATTCAGGCGGTGCTCTCATGATAAAGTAATTATTATTCTTTTTCCAATTAATTTGATTCAGGTTCGAGGTCATGCTAGCGGTTTCAGAACTCTTCCCCACACAGTGGATTGGCACCCAACCTTGCCTGTATTTCTGACAGGCTCAGCTGATCACTCAGTTAGAGTAACACCCATTCTCTAATGTGTCTCAATTTTACATGTTATTTTAACATAATTTTTGGTCAGCTAGAAGTTGGAGTGAATTTTTCTCGGACTGTGATCTGACAGAAATTCTCACATCAGAGTACCTTTGAGCAGCTTGTGTTACATAGGATGCATCTTTAGCAGTGTGTATTATGACCGGATAGGATGAATTTTCCCTAGTTGTAATTCATTGAATATTATAAAGTTATAATGCATCATTCATTCTTTGTTGTAATTCATTGACCCATCTTTGCTAGTTGAGGGTTCTACCTTCGCCTGTTTTCTCCTACCTATTATCTTTCTGTGACAAACTTTTAACTCTCTTAATTTGAAGGCTATTCTGGTAAGTGATTATTACATAGGTAAAGAAACTGCAGAAATCTGCCGCAATAACATACTTTTTGGAGAGGTTCGGTGCTGACCCATTTTGAAGAAGGGATAGTTTTGACTTGTAATTAAATTCTCACCTTCATAAATCCGAGAACGTTACCGAAACTTTTCTTCTTATTATTATTTTGAAAATTTTAAGATGATATAATATAACTCCATCAAGATTACAATGAACTACGTTCTAGAAGAACTAACTGTAAGAATGACATTCGAGAGGCTTAATAGCTGCTGCCGGAAACAGCATCCAACACAAAAGACAATAAAAAAAACTAGGGTAATTTCCAAGTACTTACCCAACGAAACCCAATTTGTAACGAAATTTTTCAGACCTTTCCTAACATTTGGGTCTTATGATTTATCCCAAATGTCTCTCACGATGTCAATTAAATAATGGTAAAGGATGGTCATGAAGGCTATGGATGTAATTTCAATGATATTCTGGAAAATAAATTAAAAATAAAGAAAAAATGAGCCATTGTTCTGTTAATGACCAATTGACCATATGCTAGTCCTTAAGGTGCTGCCTGCGGCCTGCCTCAACAGAAGCACAACGTGTTCAATCATGTGTATCTAAGCTTTGAAAATAAATAAGAACATAACCCATTAACTTAACCAAAAGACTTTCGTTTTCACTGATAAAGGGAAATCATTGATCATAACTTTTCACTTGAGAAGGAAATCGGGTTTTTGGATTTGGAGAAGGTGGCTAAGATATGGTGAGGATGTTCTTTTTCTTTATCAGTTCTTTTAATTATATAAAATATGTAAGTGATAATTATAGGGGAATTCTGTAGTTCTGTCAAATCAGTTTACCTTTTGCCGTTATATAATTTAATTATGGTCAAGGGAGATATCCGAGAAAAAACCCAAATGTGAGGGAAGATCTCAATTTTTTCATAGTAGACTTGGGTTTTGTTGGATTTTTCCTAAACCTCAGGAGAGGTTTTTGGAAATTACCCTGAAAGTGAAACTAATCATGTAATTCAACAATAAAAACAGAACACATACTTGTTGTGCTCAAAACTAAAGAGCCAAAGGAATATATATATATATATATATCAATTTACTACTATAAAAATAAATACCAAATTGCATTTCCATATTGTACTTGTTATTCAATAGGCAGAGAGAGGCGGAAAAGGCAGCAATCCCCTCCCTTTCACAGGTCACAATTCAAAAGCAAATTACGTAGAAATGTTGTAATAATATATACACAAAAACACTAAATTGAAAGGACTTAAGATTTAGAAACTAAGCCTTGTTCGCAGTTTGGAAATACTAACAGCTGCTGTAACATAAAGCCAGTCTTTCGCATCAATCAAGAAATTGAAGTAGGCATGTCTCCACGAAGCTTTGAACAATAAAGTCCCACAAACTCCCCAAAACCCTACTACAAAACCAATTACCGAACTCAAATAAAACCATAGGTCGTCTTTTGGAGCGTCTGTGTCCTCTTTTCCTCCATTATTAGTGGTTGTGTCCTCTTTTCCTCCATTATTTGTGGCTGAACCTTGAGCTGATTCATCACCTGGACACTTAGTTGGAAGTGGCAACCCACACAAACCGGGATTCCCCCCATACGTTGAGGAATTGAAGCTTTGGAGTTGGGTGCCTGATGGTATTCTGCCTGACAAGTTGTTATTTGAAAGGTCAAGGACACTAAGACCACTTATTAGTGAAAGGGTTGGAGGAATTTCACCAGAAAACTGATTTCTTGATAAATCAAGGAAATCCAATGATTTTAAATAACCAATTTTTGAAGTGATTTCTCCACTCAAATTGTTTCTGGAAAGGTTCAAGCCAACCAATCCTGTAAGACTCATAATCTCTTCAGAAACTTCTCCACTTAGTATATTGCTTGAAAGGTCAAGGATCTTTACCAATCCTAGAGTATTCTTGAACTCGAAGTTACTTCCTTTCCATGTCAACACTGCATTGTTAAAATACTCATAGATCCCGAGGTGATAAGTAATTCCAGAGGGGATATAGTCGGTGGTGAGGGTGGCATTGGTATCCCATTCGTGAGTCATGGCAGAAAACTTGTTGATACATTTTGGTATAGTTCCTGAAATATTGTTTAAAGAAAGGTCCAAGACCTGAATGTTTGCTAGATGGCATAGCTGGAGGGGAATGTTTCCAAAAAATCTATTGGATTGCAGACTAAGAACAATTAAATCTTGCAGGCTTTCCCCTATCCACTCTGGTATCCTTCCTGATAATGCGTTCTTTTCTAAATCTAGCATTCTTAGTTTTGTACAATTCTTTAAAAACAAAGGCAATTATCCAAAGAAGCTATTATTGCGTAAACTCAATGTTTGAAGATTACTTAGGGCGCCCATCGTGTCTGGAATTTTCTCAAAGAAATTGTTGTTTGCAAAATTAACTACCATTAAGTAATTGGATTGCTTCCAACAATTTGGAACCCCTCCAGATAGCAGGTTACTGGAGATGTCGATGTAAACCAAATTCTCAATAGCTAAACATAAGGAAGAAATCGTTCCCGAAAACTTATTTTTGGACAGATCCACATAAGATATATGTGCAGGAAGTGCTGGAATTGGACCCTCAAAATGATTTGAACTAAAATCTATTCCCGAAATTGAAGAAGAATTAAATTTCATAGATAAATTTGGAAGTTTACCCTTGATCTGATTGTGAGAGAGATTTAATTCATTTAGTTCAAAGGATAGATCCCAAAACCATTCAGGTAAAATATCTGAGATTCCAGCATTGGAAATATCTAGAGTATCAAGAAGTTTTTGAGTTTGAAGCCATTTTGGGAAATGAGGCCCTATCTTGCAAGAGGCAAGACTTATAATGCTCAGTTGAAAAGGAGGAATCCAGTTAGGGCTCAGTTAAAAAACAAGAGAGTAACCAGCTAAGTCTAATAAAAATAAGTTGGAGAGATTGGAGAAAAAGGCTTCTGTGATTTCACCTTCCAATGAATTCTCACCAAGCAGCAAAACCTCAAGCTTGTTCATGAGTCTAATGCTATTGGTTAAGGTCCCATTCAAAAGATTCTGATCAAGTTGTAGTACTTTTAAGGACGAAAATCTTGAAAGATCAGGCACTGAACCTATGAATTTATTGTCACTTAAGGACAAGCCCTCCAGAGTGCCTTCAGGGCACGCAACAATTAAGTTTCGAATAGACTTCGAGAGTTTTTCCTCCAAGATTATTATTACCCAGATCTAATGAAAGTAAGCGACACATATTCCCAAAGGATTCTGGAATTCCACCTTCAAGGTGATTATAAGCAAGAACAAGCTCTGTTAGCGAAGTGAAGTGTCCAAAAGCGTCAGGAATGGAACCTTGTAATTGGTTGGAGCCAAGGTCAAGATAATCAAGATTATTACTAAAGTTGAACAACCAGGGATACATTGAGGAAGTGAGAGCGTTGAAACCGAGACCGAGGTGCAGAAGAGATGTAGAATTGACAAGTGACAGAGGGGAAGAAATGATCGGTGGAAGATTACAAACATTTAAATTCAAGGTTCTCAGGAAAGGGAGCTTCTTAACTACCTTAAACCAATCACTGGATTTACTAAGGTTGCTATAAGTCAGGTCAAGATAACTCAAAGAAGAAAGGTGAGAAAGCCACTCAAGGTTTCCAATACTAGATAAACCATCATTATCGCCAAGGTCCAGAAATTGCAAACTTGAAAGATTTCCAAGCTGACGATGAATTGGTCCACCAAAATTACTAGAAGAGAGACTAAGGTGAGTCAATTTGCTGAGGGAACCAATGAACTTAGGGATTCGACTTCCACCAAAATCATTGAAACTGAAGTCTAAATAACTTAAATCATGCAATTTAAGCAGAGAAGAGCTAATTGTACCTCTCAAACGCGAGGGATCGGACCACATATTAAGATCAAGCTTGTTTATATGGCCAGTTCTGTCGTTGCACTGAACTCCTCTCCAGTTACAACAATTCTTTTTAACATCTTCACTTCCCCATGAAGAGAGATAGCCACGTTCATCTACCAGGCCTTGTTTCAAAGCAAGCAGTGCTTCTCTCTCCTCCTCTATGCACGTTATAATGTTTGAATCAGCAACTGTTTGACGCACAACGAACAAAATCACCATAACCAGAACCAGAAGCAAATGTTGAGGAAACCTGCCACCTGACATCATCGTCAAAATCAAGCAGCAACTCCAACAGTGAAGTTCAAGCAGTAAATATGAATGTGTGGTGATATTTCTGAAACACCACATGCATTATAAAGCAGTGAATTACCGTGTGTTTCTCGACAACAAAGTCTTCGATCAAGTCAACCGACCATGGGAAACGAATTTTGCTTTCTCTTATATGCTTGTTTAACATGTTCATGCATTCAATTACCACGTTTTAAGGAGTTGAATCTTATGATGTGAAAATGACATTATCAATTAAAGTATTACCAAAATTTAAAAGCAAAGTATTTATTAAGCCTTCAATGCTGATGATTATCAATAACTTTGCTTGATTGTAGAAGACGTTTTCTCATTAAAGTAGGAAGGTGTAATATAAGTGTTTTATGGCAAAAATTTGTCAAGTGATTCTTCAAACAATTTGTTTTTCTAAGGAAGATTTTTTCATAAAAATATATATATATCAAGCTAGTACTTCTATTAGCAAAATAAAATAAAATAAATACCAAAAAAATTTTCATTCTAAAAAATGTTTAATTTGTTAATTTGAATTAAATGTAAAATAAATAAAAAAAATGACGTTTAAAATAGCTGAAAATACTTTATGGAGTACTTGTTATTCATTAGGCATATAGAGGAGGAAAGGCAGCAATCCCCTGTCTCTCACAAATCACAATTTGAAAGCAACTTATGGAGATACGTTGAAAAAATTAAACACAAATCACTATCTTTTACATCAATTAAGAAATTGAAGTAGATATATCTTTACGAAGCTTTGAACACTATAGTGCCACATTCTGTAAAACCCCATTCTAATTCTAATAATTTATGTATATATATTTTTATGGTTTTGTTTACAAGAACGGACCTTTCTGTCAAATTTTTAAAGTTTTCCTGGGCTGAAAACGAAAGAATGGAAATTTTTACTACACCATGACTCCACTAATATAAAAACAGAAATTGACCCTACTAACATAAAAATATGAATTAATTAAGCATCACATTTCATCGTAACCATTATCATAATCAAGTATAAAAAGCACTGCGTAACATAAAAATATGAATTAATTAAGCATCACATTTCATCATAACCATTATCATAATCAAGTATAAAAAGCACTACGTAACAATGAGCTATTATCTCTGAAAATTAGCACAGACCCATTGCATACTTCTGCATGTATATTGCCATGTGTTTTCCATTAACGGAGTCTTCGGTCAAGTCCACAAACTTTTTGAAAAGGAATTTGCGGGTGTTTGATAAAATGGTATTTTATTATCATCATATTAATCTTTTGTTACCTTCACTTATTTTCTAACAAATCGTCTTATGCACGTAGAGCGTGATTCACGATGCAATCTACATTTTGCTATTGGAAATGATATCACAACTCAAGAAGTCCATGGTCTGTTTTAGACAGAAAAATCGAACCCGTGATGTGTGCTTTGTAGTAGTCATTGTGGGGTTTTAAAAAAGTATAGTGTTAATTCCAAAAAGTAAAGTGTGAAATAGTCAAGCTGCCTAGGGTTAAGTTTGCGTCTTGACTTTTTCTTACGTGGTCTTATGTTTCATGGTTTTCTTTCTTCCCCAGTAAAATGAAGTCTTCTATCAAGTCAATAGACTTATACAAAACGAATTTGTTTTTCTATCGGTTGCTATAACATGTTCATATATGATTCATGATGCATATGTTCATACATTAATGTGTGTATTAAAAGGTATACTTTTATCATATGAAAGTCCATTGTCGGTATTTAATTGATGATCATTTAACATACTATTATTATTAAGGATAAATGTACTATAATAGTATAGTCCGCGCTTTTTTCCTAAGATTTTCGCTTTTAATTGTAAATAAAGGCATAGATATTTGTATAATATTAATTATCTTTTGTCTTCGTGACAAAAGCCTTTTGAGTTGGATAGCGTAATTTCTTTCCGCTTAGAAAAATGTAAAGAAAAGGAAAACAGAGACGAAGTAGTTAACAATTTTTTAGAGAGAATTTGTCTCAAATATTGATGATATTTTAATTCTTAATAGCTTAAGGTAATCACTTGACGTGTGACTAATCTGATTAATTTCAGCTTTTGCAGTTAATGAGTTTATAAATAGAATCCTCCACGTCAAGCTTGCAAAGTTATATAATGAATTATATGTTCTTGATTTAGACAATAAAGAAATTCTCAATATTGAAACCAAGAAAGCTAAACATAACGATTAAAACCAAACATATCTCTGGCACTGTAGATTGTGTCATGTTAATAAGACTCGCATTGCAGAACTTAAAATGGATGAAATTTTGGATCCTTTTGACTTTTAGTCATTTGAGGTATACGAATCATGCCTGTTAGGCAAGATGACCAAGTTTCCTTTCACAGGACAAGGTGAAAGGGCTACTGAACTGTTAGGCATCATCCACAGTGATGTATGTGGTCCACTAACAGTTGAGGCCAGAGGTGAATATTCATACTTCATTACATTTACTGATGATTTCAGTAGATATGGTTATGTTAATCTCATGAGACATAAATCTGAAACCTTTGATAAATTCAAGGAATTCAGGAATGAAGTACAGAATATCTTGGGCAAAAGTATTAAAGCTCTTCGGTCGGATCGAGGACGCTAGTTTCCAAACGGACAAAGATGATTATCGATCGCAATCAGGGTTTGTATTTTGTCTCAATGGCAGTGCAGTGGGCTAGAAGAGCTGCAAGCAAAGCACTGTAGCAGACTCTACAACAGAAGTTGAGTATATTGCATTGTCAGATGCGACCAAGGAGGTAGTCTGGATTAAGAAGTTCATTACTGAACTTGGTATGGTTCCCACGATTGTTGATCCTATAGACATCTATTGTGACAACAATGGAGCAATTGCTCAAGCCAGGGGACCACGGTCTCATTAGAAGTTCAGACACATACTCAGACGATTCCATCTCATCAGAGAGATAGTTGAGAGGAAAGATGTGCAGATTAGTAAAGTGCATACTGATGACAATCTCGCAGATCCACTAACAAAGCCTCTGTCGTAGCAGAAGCATGAAAAGCACTTGAGATCATTTGGTATTAAATACATGAATGATTGGCTATAGTGCAAGTGGAAGATTGTTAGAGTAGATGCCCTAGAGCCAATCAATTATTGTAGAATTGACTCTTTGTAATAATGTTCATTAATCAATAATAAAAGGCATTTTATTCTATATCGCGTAAATCATTATTATTGCAATATGTATTGATATATGTCCTTAGAATGGTAGAACCGTGACGAGGGTATCAAGTGTTTCAAATCTTGATAGTGAGAACCCTATGAGTACATATGGTGGTCATTCTAGAAACGTCCGTAGCCCCTGTATTATTCTGAAGTAAGGGCACAAATAATACGTTAAGGCTATCATAGTGTTGAACGACCCTGTTGAAAGGCAGTGAATGATCTCACTTGTCAAGGTTGTTTGGTGACAACCTGGTGCAACACATGGGTGCTTGCTGTAGGTGAAGACACCATAGCAAGTTCACTGGAAAGACCTACCAGATGATTCCATATGGATAGTAACCACAGTGTCTATGGAACAAATCCTCTAACGAATAGTGGTGTATGTGATCCTTAGACTTGAGATCACTGGAGCGCCTTGTGTACCGATTGGTGCAGTTTGACACTAACCTAACGCAGTTCTATTCAGAGCCGTCAATACGGTGGTGATTGGCTGCATCAAGGAGTGTATCAAGACTATGACGGATAGACAAAAGATTCATCACTCCTGGGTACGGGAGAAGTTATCTCACGGTGTAATTCAGTATATGGCAATAACATTAAAACTGTGGCTACAGTGGGATTGAGTTGTTGCTCTATCCAGATTATAATACAGGTCATTGGTCCAGAAACTGAATACATAATATCGAGAGTAACCGAAGGTTGACACTATTTCTATGCCTTCGTCTCGTAGAGATAACGTATGATGAAATGATTGAATTGTATGATAACCATATCGTTGATAGGTAGCTACTTTGCTGAATCCGAATCTATCGGGTGGCCATGACGCCTTGCTAGGGGCCAATCTTGGTCTGTGTATAGTGAGACGATTAATTGGTGTTAACCGTGATACTATACACTGCCGATATGATGAAAAGCTTATGGGTCACACACATAGAAGATAATTTAAGAGCCCAAAAGAAAGAAGGGTGTTTTCGTCTTTTTAGGCGAACTGGTATCTTGGTAATTTCATAGTGCAATTAAATTTATTGAGGTCGTAGCCTTTATTTAAGTTATTAGAAAAATTAAATAAGTGAAATTACGTTTAAATATGTGTTCGCATATATTTAATTAAATCATCATTATTGTTCAATGTTAAAACATATAGGCTTCGTTTGGTTCAAAATTTAGGGATTTTGAGAAAAGTTTTTTAAAAAAAGTTAAAAAAAAATTGAATTTGGCAGGTATTATGAGGTAAGATTTATAAATTCATAAAATATCCCCTATGTTTATTTTTTTACAAAATACCCCCTATAATAAAACATTAAAAGTTAAACAAAAATACCCCTAACCCACCCTCAAATACCCCCAGCCGGCCACCACCACCGGAGGTGGCTGGAGTCGTCTTATCGGCGCATGACCGGCTGGATCTTGCCGGTCATGCGCCGCTATGGCCTTTTCCGGCCAGATCCACGGTGGATCTGGCCGGCAAAAGCCAGATCTACGACCAGATCTGACCGTATTTGCTCTCAACGACGGCCAACAAACGGTCGTCATTGATGGTCAACGACGACCGTTTGTTGGCTGTCGTGACCGACTGTTACGGCCAAAGATCTGACCTTTTCTGGCCAGATCCACCGTGGATCTGGTCGGAAAAGGCTAGATCGGCGCACTACTGGCCAGATTCAGTCAGTAGTGCGCCATCCTACCAGATTCCGACCATTTTCTGGTGGTGGTGGCCGAAATCTGGTAAATGTGGATTGTTGGGGTGTTTTTATAATTTTTTAAAAAATATTTAGGGGTATTTAATTAAATTAACAAATTTAGAGGGTTTAAGAAAAAATTAAATAATATTGAAAGTAGTATTCCCAAAAATTAGAGTTTTTGGGTATTTTACTGTTTAACTTTTTTGGGAATACTAAGAGTAGTATTCCCAATTTTGAACCAAACGAAGCCATATATATATATATATATATTAATTGATTTTTAATTGAGATAATGTTGAAATAAAATAAATATCTAATTGGGAGTGTTTGGTAACATGGGGTATTTGGGTTGGAGCCCAAGTCTATTCCAAATGGGAATAGGGTAACTAAGTTTTCAATATAAAAGAAAAAGGTTATTTGAAAAATATAAGGGTTAACTCATCATTCACCTTTTCTTTGAAAAGAAAAACACAGCAGCCACATATTTCCTCTCCCACGGCAGAATTAATTTTTGTCTAAAATTAATCTATTTGATTTTGAGTAATACCAGCCTTACAAAGAGGTATACAAAGAGTCAAATCCAACCCTTGAAAGAAGGGAAAAAGAGAGAGAGAAAGAGGCAATCATGAATTTATTGTACTAACTTCCAGTCATTGTCCGTGAATGCTTCACTGTATACATTTATAACTATCCATTAACAAAAATAATAACAATAGATAAAACAAATCAACATAATTCACCAAAATTAAACATATAAGCAGAGACATGATGAGCATTAGTTGCTATTTAACAATAAAATTGGTAATACTTTGTCAACTCGGTCACATTTCCAATTCTAAGCTTACCATTCCAAATTTTCTAAGGACCCTCAAGAAGTGATACAATCACTTCACCGGGACCGTGTCAGTACATGTAATGGAAGACTTCAAACCCCATAGAGGGCATAGTCAAAAACACCAAAACCTTCACTGCAAAATGCCAAGTGAGAAAATTATCATTACAAGCTCATCTGAATAAATTATAAATAAATATATAAACAAAAACAAATTATCTGTAATCACCTGCATTAATGACCAAAATACGATCATCTTGACAGTGTTCAAAAATCTTTAAACACAATGTTCCATTTACAGTCTTGCTTAAACACTTCTTACGTCTGTGGATCGTCACGCTTCAAGAATCTGAGCAAATCCTTTAAATTATCTAAAATTTGGGAAAATCAAATTACTCAAAATGTAAATTGATAAATCACATTTTCAATTTTTTTTTCTTTTGACGAATCTTACCTAAACGGTACTCACCTTTGTAGTAGCTAATCTTATTGCCTTGTTCGTCCTCTTCAACCATACTGAGACCATCGCAGATCAAAGATTAGCCTTCCATGTCCATCTTTACTTGTAAACAATTGTTAAGGTTCTGGAAGAAGTGAGAACCGATTGGCTACACTCGGAGAGGTGCAGAAAGCAGATATGAGGTGAGACTGTAACATAAGTGGAGTTAGGGCTCTTGTGGCGCCAATTTAATTGATGGAGTCTAAGGTGAGGGAACCAATTTAATTGATTGTAGAAGATGTTTCCACATTGAAGTAGGATATTGTAAAACAAGTGATTTTCAAACTTCAAACAGTATTTCAAACAATTTGTTTATCTGAAAAAGATTTTTCATAAAAATATAAAATAAATACAAAATTAAACACAAACAATAAACATGAATTAATTGGAGTACCTGTACCCATATCACTGCATGATCAAAAACTCCAAACTCTTATAATTTTTAGGCAATTCGGATAAATAATTATCAAAAAACTTGCAAAACAATAACGTAATTTGAAGAGTTTTGAGTGCTGACAATATTAACTAGTAATTACTGGAATTCATTGATCTTATAAGATGGTAACATTCTCATTTTCTTTATTTTCCATAAGAAAAATCTAACATTACATAATATGAACTACATAATTAGCTGGAGAGAATGTCATCACAGACACATAATAGCTGCTGCCAGAGCCTGGGAAAAGAAAAAAATGCATTACTTTGAGAAATAACATTCAACTGAAAGGAAAACAAAAACTAAACATATAATTATTACTAGATATAATTTTTATATACATATATATTGTTATTATACTACTCTTCGAATTATTTTGTACCCTAAAAATTTGTATTAGAAAATACAGTATTATTTGTATAATCATGTATAACTTTTACGATAAAAAAACAAAATATTTAGTCTTAACTTTTGAAACAACACCAAACACATTTGAGGAAGCTCAATCTCGTAGTGTAGACCATAATAAGCACATATAATACCAAAGACGTTTTAGAATTTATTTGGAAGTACACTTAACATTGATGTTAAAGACATTCTCACAACATTATTAGTTAAACTGATCTACGTAAATCATTTCACGTTTAGAGAAGGAGACAAAAATTGACTTCCATAAATTTCTTGTCCAAATCACAAATTTAGAAGCAAATTACGCATAAAGTTAAACATAATAACTTGCACACACTTGCTAGTATTAAAAGAAGTATTACCATTTAGTTATTAAACCTCTGCTTCAGTTTGGCAAAATTTATCGTTGCTATCACATAGATCCTATCTTTGATATTAGCCAAGAAATTGAAGTAGGCATGTCTCCATGACTGACTAAGCACTAGACTGCCACAAACACCCCAAAACCCTGCAATGAAACCGAGGGCCAAACTTATGTAAAACCCAAGGGTTATGATCTCATCTTCTGGAATGTCAATAGTAGCTGGACCTTGGGTCGGTTCTTCTCCGAGACATTTTTTTGGGAGTGGGAGGCCACACAGTTCCGGATTCCCTGCATACACTGAGGCATTGAAACTCTGAATTTGAGTGCCTGTTGGAATTTTGCCTGAAAAGTTGTTGTTTGACAAGTCCATAACACTTAGGCGGTTTATTAGAGAAAGGCTTGATGGAATTTCACCATAAAATCGATTTCTTGATAGATCTAGGAAATCCAATGATTTTAAGTGACCAATCTTGGGAGGAATTGTTCCACTGAAATTATTTTTGGAAAGATTCAAGGCAATCAATCCTACTAGACTCATAATCTCTTCAGGAACTATTCCATCCAATTTATTATCGGAAAGGTCGAGGCTCTTGACTAAACCCAAAGTGTTTTTGTACTCATATTTACTTCCTTTCCATGTCAAACATGCACTGTCAACATAATGTATTTCTCCATAGAGATTGAAATCGAATTCATAGGTTATGGCAACTCCTTTCTTCAGGCAAAGCTGTGAAATTGTTGAAACACTTGGGTATATTTCCAGAAATACTGTTCAAGGAAAGGTCTAAGATTTGAATTTTTGCTAGACGGCATAACTTTAAAGGTATATTCCCACTGAATCTGTTAGATCCTAGACTAAGAACTAGCAAACGTGGTAGACTCTCCCCAATCCATTCAGGTATCTTCCCGGATAATGCATTATCCTGAAGATCTAAAATTCTCAACCGGGTGCAGTTGCTCAAAATTGGTAACTCTCCAAAGAAGTTATTATTGCTCAATCTCAATGTTACAATACTACCTAGGGAGCCCATTGAGGGTGGAATTTTTCCGGACAAGCCATTACTTTCCAGATTAAGAACAACCAACTCTTCAAATTTTATCCAACAATCCGGAAGCATTCCCGAGAGTAGGTTATTAGAGACGTCAAGATAGGTCAAATATTCGGCAAAAGCAGAACATATGAAAGAACTTGATCCTGAAAATTTATTTCCAGAAAGATTAATGTGAGTTGCACCCGCAGGGAGTGACAAAATTGGTCCCTTAAGATGATTTGAGCTCATATCTATTATGGAATCTCGAACCGGATCTCGTAAAGAAAAATCTGGGAGATTGCCCTTGATATTGTTGTATGAGATGTTGAAACGGAATGCTGAATTTAATACATCCTACATCCATTTAGGCATTGTATCTGAGATTCCAGCATTCGAGATATCAAGTAAAAGGAGAAGTTGACCATGTGATTCCAAATTTCTGAACCATTTTGGAAAATGAGGCCCCATTTTGCAAGAGGCAAGAGATAAATACGAAATATGTTGAAAAGGAGGAACCCAATCATCGCTAATTTCCAAAAAAAGAGAGTTATGAGACAAGACCAAACTATCTAATTTAGAGAGATTTAAGAAAAAGTCTTCAGAAATGACACCTCTCAAGGAGTTGTCACCAAGATCTAAAACTTTAAGCTGAAACATTTGTCCGATGCTTTTGGGAATGGTTCCGCTTAATTGATTTTGTCCAAGTCCTAAATCTATTAAGGATGAAAATCTTGTAAAATTGGGCACAGATCCCGTGATTTTGTTACCCCATAAATACAAAAACTCCAACTTCTTCTCTGTACATCCACCAGATAGATTTTTAAAGAACCCAGAGAGTTGTCCTGTCAGATTGTTGGAAGATAACTCTAACGTATCCAGACAACTCATATTTCCGATGGAGTTTGGAAAGCCACCTTCTAGGTCGTTGGACTTAAGGGAGAGACTGGTAAGAGAAGTCATGTAATTTCCGAAAGCTTCAGGAATTGAACCATGTAAAAGGTTAAAATCGAGGGAAAGTTGGTTAAGATTGCTACTGACATTGAACAACCAAGGGTATATAGAATTGGTTACATGGTTGCCAGTTAGATCAAGGCTCACAAAAGATGCAGTAGCATTGACTTTTAGGGGAGCCCAAGGCATAATTGTGGAAGATTACACCAAACTACAGATAATTCTGTGAGTAATGGGAGCTTGTTAATGACTTGAAACAATCATTGATTCACGAAGATCGCTGCCCCTTAAGTCAAGATATCTTAAAGAAGAAAGCCACTCAATGTTTCCAGCGTTAATAAACCATCATTACCGCTGAGATCAAGAAGTTGTAGCCTTGAAAGGTTTCCCAGCCGGTGGGGAATTTGTCCTTTAAAACCAGCGTTAGAGGACCAAGATGCGTCAATTGGTGGGGAAACAATGAACTCAGGGATTGGGCTCCCACTAAAATAATTGTAACTGAGGTCTAAAGGCTTAAATGGTGCAGTTTAAGTAAAGACGCGTTAAGTTTACCTTCCGATGGTGCATTGAGATCTCTGGTGCCCCTAAGTTCGAGTCTTTGCACAAGGCCGTTTGACGACATTGGATTCTCTCCATTCACAACAATTTTTTTTATCCTCACTTCCCCAAGAAAGAAGAAAGCCATCGTCACCCACCAAGCCTGTTTAAATACGAGTAGTGCTTCTCTTTCGTCATCTCTGAACTCATAACGTCAGAATCCGCAACTCTTTGCTGGAAAAGGAACAAATCAAACAGCTAGAAGTAGATGTTGAAGGAACCTCCACCTGACATAGCCATCCATCATCAACTAGAAAAAGCACTGCGTAACAATGAGCTATTATCTCTGAAAATTAGCTCAGACCCATTGCATACTTCTGCATGTATATTGCCATGTGTTTTCATTAACGGAGTCTTCGGTCAGGTCCACAAACTTTTGGAATAGGGATTTGCTGGTGTTGATAAAATATATTTTATTGTCATCGTATTAATCTTTTGTTAGCTTCTCCTATTTTCTAACAGATCGTCTTATGCACGTAGAGCAGATTCACGATGCATTAAGTAATCTGGCAACGTTCATTTCCATCTTTGCTGTGTGAATGATATCACAACTCATGTTGGTTGATAATAGTATAAAATTCAACTTTGAAAATATGAAGTGTAATATATTTGTACAATCAATATAATCATATCTTTTGACTTGAACAAAAGCCTTTTTGCTGGCATACATGATTTCGTTCCTTTTGTTAAAATGAAAAGGAGAGATAATATAATTAGAAAGAATGAATATAATTTTATTTTAAGCTAGACTTAATTTATTGAGGTATTGAGTTCTTAATAACCCATGATGCATGCTTTGTGATAGTCATATGGAGTTTCTAAAAAGTATGTGTTAATTCTCAGTTGAAATTAAAATAAAAAAATGTTACACCCACTTCTCTTTCACCAACTTCTCTCAAATTCAACGTGGAACTCACAATTGATCAGTTCAATTAGTCTCATTTGGTTCCACCTAAATTATAATTGACTAATTGTGAGTTATTAGTGGGGTTGTAAGAAGAGATTGTGAGTGTATCATTTCTCTTAAAATAAATTAAATAGTTAAGTTGGAACATTGTCTTCCTCTTACGTGGTTTTATGTTTCATGGCTTTCTTTCTTCCCCAGTAAAATGTGATTTTGTGGTTTTATATTTATGGCTTTCTTTCTTCTCCAGTAAAATGTGACTTCTGGAATGAAATTGTGCTGTTATCAACAAAATTCGCATGATATATAAAGTAATTATCAACGTGTTTTAACAACAAAGTCTTGCTTTTGTGGATCAATTGACAATAGACTTGGAAAATGAACTTTCTTGCTCAATGGTACACACATTTTGCCTAAGGATAAGCAGTTTCCACAGTAAAAAAAAAAAAAAACACAATGTGAATACACGTTGGCGATCCGACTGTATTAATTAGAGATACGTTATGGTGAATGATATCAAATTCCTATTTGATTGAAAATTTAACACTAATGAAAATCATGTCAATTCTATATTGTTTTCCTTTAATTTTTTTTAAAATCACTAGAAAATTAAAATGAATATCTAATCAATACTAATTAAAGTTTTTGTTAAAAAAAAAAAAAAACACTAAGTGCAATCACAGCTATATTATGAATATATTTGGGTTTGATTAAAAGAATAAACTAAAACTTATTGATACACGGTATAAATAAAAAAACTTAACGACTATTATTCTAATAAGGGATCATAGTTAGATAGAAAAATCCAACCCGTGATGTGTACTATGTGGTAGTCATTGTGGGGTTTCCAAAAAGTAAGTGTTAATTCCAAAAAGTAAAGTGTGAAATCGTCAAGCTGCCGGTGTTATGTTTGCGTCTTGACTTTCTCTTACACGGTTTTATGTTTTGTTTCTTTCAATTTTTTTTTATCATCTTCATTTCCCCAAGAAGAGAGAATGCCAGAATAATCCACCAGGCCCTGTTTAAATAGAGTAGAGCTTCTCTTTCCTCTTCTCTGCAACTTATAACGTCAGAATCCACAACTCTTTTCTGGAAAAGGAACAGAATCAAAACAACTAGAAGTAGATATTATCTCTGAAAATTAGCTCAGAGCCTCAGACCCATCGCATACTTCTGCATGCATATTGCCATGTGTTTTCCACTAACGGAGCCTTGGGTCAGGTCCACAAACTTTTGGAAAAGGGATTTGCTGGTGTTTGATAAAATTATATTTTATTGTTTAGCTTCTCCTATTTTCTAACAGATCGTCTTATGCACGTAGAGCATGATTCACGATGCATTAAGTAATCTGGCAATGTTCATTTCCATAATTTTGCTGTGTGAAATGATATCACAACTCATGTTGGTCGATAATAGTATGAAATTTAAACTTTTGAAAATATGAAGTGTAATATATTTGTACAATCAATATAATCATATCCTTTTGACTTGAACAAAAGCCTTTTTGCTGGCATACATGATTTCGTTCCTTTTAGAAAAATGAAAAGGAGAGATGATATAATTAGAAAGAATGAATATATAATTATTTTAAGCTAGACTTAATATTATTGAAGATATTGAGTTCTTAATAACCCGTGATGCGTACTTTGTGATAGTCATTGTGGGGTTTCCAAAAAGTATGTGTTAATTCCCAATTGAAATTAAGATAAGGAAAATGTTACATTCATCACCTTTTTTTCACAATTTTTTTCTTACAACTCTGACATGACAATTCATAATTGATCAGTTTATAATAGATCTTATTTGGGTTCCACCTAATAAATTATGATTGACCAATTGTGAACTGCTATGTTTGAATTGTGAGAAAAAGTTTGTGGAAAGAGATTGCAAGCGCATCATTTCTCTTAAAATAAATTAAATAGTTAAGTTGGAGCCTTGTCTTCCTCTTACATGGTTTTATGTATCATAGCTTTCTTTCTTCCCCAGTAAAATGTGACTATCTGGAATGAAATTGTATTGTTATCAACAAAATTCTGTGTGATAATAATTAATGCTTGCTTCGTTGTTTTTGAGTATCCTCATATTACATTTGTATTCATATTTCTTTCATTTCCATGTCAACATAATTCTCAAAATCAAATACTCTCAGTTATATGCAATTTCTCAGTTACTGCATTGATATATAAAGTAATTATCAACGTGTTTTAACAACAAAGTCTTGCTTTTGTGGATCAATTGACAATAGACTTGGAAAATGAACTTTCTTGCTCAATCGTACACACATTTTGCCTAAGGATAAGCAGTTTCTACAGTAAAAAAAAAAAATACAACGTGTATTGGTGATCCGACTGTATTAATTAGAGACACATTATGGTGAATGATATCAAATTCCTATTTGGTTGAAAATTTAACACTAATTAAAATCATGTTAATTCTATATTATTTTCCTTCAATTTTTTTAAAAATCATTAGAAAATTAAAATGAATATCTAATCAATATTATATAAAGTTTTTGTACAAAAAAAAACTAAGTGCAATCACAGCTATTAGGAATAAATTGAGTTTGATTAAAAGAATAAACTAAAACTTATTGATACACAGTATAATAAAAAATTTAAGGACTATTATTCTAATAAGGGATCATAGTTAGACCTGGCAGAAGGGCAGGTACAGGCCAGGTAAAGACGGGAATGGGTATGGATCAAACAGGTTGAGAATATAAATGGGTAAGAGAATACAGAACCTATACCCGATCATGTCTGTTTTCACTTTTAAAAAAAAAAAATAAAAAATAATA